TGGTGTAGTGACTTTACTGCATTCAGATTCCTTTTTCTCAAAGTAGATGAAGGTGGAGCCATTTTTACAGTGCAGGGAAGGAAGGTGGGAGTTCCCTGAAGCAAAAGGGGTTTCAGCAGCTGCTGGGAGTCCCTCAGTCCCTCCCCTCACTTACAGGAATAGCTCCTCTGGTTCAGTTTGACCTCAGGCACATCTCCTAACTTTCCAGTAGTCAGCTATCAAAAAGTTCACCTTACATCCTTGGCAGCAGGTACAGTGGCTTGGAGTGCCAGGCCTTCCCAAGAAAGCGGAGCAGGGTCTGCTCTGCGGTCCCACCTGGGGTGCCAAAATTTGTAACCAAAAGTTCGGTCCCTGTCCTTAAAGGCAATTAATGCCAATTTACTAATGAAGACACAGTTTTGAGAAAAAGGAAAAAGAAGGTTTATTGCTTTGCTAGCAAAGGAGAAACACAGGGGACTCCTGTCCCAAAGGCTATGACCCTCTTGATCAGGAGGGACAAGGGGTTTTAAAGGAATTTTTTAAGAGTTACATTTCAGTAGAGGTTCCCAGGGCGCCCTGATGGCATGTTATTTCACTTGTTAATTCGGGAGATATTCATTTCCCAGATCCCCAGCTGGCATCTCCCTCCTGCAGTGGGTGTGCTCAAGGCGGCCAACTGTGGGGAGGAAAGATAACACTGTCTTCCTAATCCTGAAGGGGGGTAAAGTTTGTCAAAGTTCCTTAAAACACAGCTCAAAGGAGTGTCAGGATTACTTGCCTTATTATCCATTTTGTTGTTCAGTTACTTAAGTTTATACCAGAGAAGATACACAACAAAAAGGCAGGAAAAAAACATAGAACACAGAATGAGACACAGGGGAACAAGAGCCAGGTGCCAAAACCCAGGGAGCAGTGCAACCTCTTGCTAATCCTCCAAACAGGAGTGCGTATATGCCTCTGCAGACATCTCTCTGTCCCTATCAGAGCAGAGGACAGTGCGACACTTTGCTACTGTCCTACACAGGAGTGTGTATTTGTCTGGCCAGACATCTTATTGTCCCCAGAAAAAATTCCTCACCAGACCAATACCAGAGGACAGTGAAACAATTCGCTACTGTCCAAGACAGAGTGTGTATGTGCCTCGCCAGGCACCTCACTGTCCCCAAAAGAGATCTCTCTTAAACCCAATACCAGATGTTATGGGGGCACCACTTACCTATGGAGGCTCCTCCACTGGATACTTGCTAGTTGTTTTACTGTGTCAGTTCACTCCAGCGATTTGATGAGCCGAAGGCACAACCAGGGGCCTTGGAACATCTCAAGGTGCGCACCCCCTGGGGTGGCACTCCAGCCTGGAGTCCCAGAGTGAGGGTCCAGCTTCAGAATATTGGTGGTCTGATTTTGCTGGGGCCACCAAACATTGAACCACAACACAAAGAAAAGACCACGACCTCCAATTTTAAATCAAATTAAAGCAAGCTTATATTGTGTACACAGCAACTGTCTCACCCAAAGCCAGGCTACAGAACAGCCCCCCAGCTCTCCAGGAAAAAGGTTTTACCGCACAAAAAGTTACAAAGTGGGGGATGTCTTGGGAACTTAACAGCTAACAGGATTCTGGCAAGCATAATACAAAGGCAGATAGCAGGTTAATGAGCTCCATGGCTTAGCATTTCAAGGTAGAGAGTAAATTGAGATTCCAACATCAGAATTTATGAAGTGCTGTTGAGTTTTAGGGAGTGTTGTTATCTGGTCAAGGAGAGCCAGGCATGAGTGAGTTTGGAATTGAACAATATTAGCCCTCAGAGCATGGTCAGGCCAGATAAATATCTTAATAAAACAGAAATGAACTTTTTACAACTTTGTGATGAGATGGCTCCCCATCTTAGGATAGAATTAGGTTGGTTTTATCAACACTATATTCAAGAAACTGGGGTTGGGGAATCACTCTATAACTATGTGATAAGAATGCACATTGTAATATAAAATTCATCTATATGTAGTAGTTAGCTGCAAGAAACCATTCTTAGCTTAGGAAAATGGTGTTCCAGGTTTCAATGTAAACTACTAGCAACCTTTAACGTTTCATGTGGTAAATATCTAATTTCTATTTTCAAGCTCTTCCACCCCAGCCTGACTCACGAGGTCTGTAGTATTTTTCTCCAATCACTGATGCGACCACTAATATCATCAATTCTTGCAATCCTCTGATAAAGTCTGAAATGTATCTTGCATTCATTGCAGGAGCATGTGCCTACCAAGGTGAGATTTTGCATGACTTTGGAGTCAGTCTTGGCCATCTCTCTAATTCCTAGTCTGGTGATATCTCAGACTATCACCTGTACACCATTTTGGGGGAGAGTGTAACTGGGGATTTAACCCAGGGACACTTTACCTCTGAGTTTAATCCCCAGTCTTTTTTATTTTTTATTAAGTCTGAGTCTCGTTAAATTGCTAAGGGCTTCACTAAGTTGCTGAGACTGGCCTTGAATTTTCAATCCTCCTATCTCAGCCTCCTGAGTTGCTAGAATTATAGGTATTCACCCTGGCTATATTCCGTGTGTGTGTGTGTGTGTGTGTGTGTGTGTGTGTGTGTGTTTTGCTGGGTATTGACCCTAGGGCCTTGTGCATGCGAGGCAAACACTCTCCCAACTGAGCTATATCCCCAGCCCTAAACTCCATTTTTACATGTTGAATCATTTTTGTGTTCCTGGGATAAATCCCACTGGCAATGATATATAATCTTTTTAATATGCTGCTCAATTTGGATCATTAGGTTTTTTTTTTTAAAGATTTTTACATATTCTCATAAAGGATATTAGTCTTAGTTTTTCCCTGTAATATCTTTGTCTGGCTTTAGCATTAGGGTAATCTTGGTCTTCTACTTCTTGGTAAAGTTTGAGAAAGAGTGGTATCTATTTAAAGTTTTGGTAGAATTTGCCAGTGGACTCTTAGTCCTCTTTAGAAGAGCCTACTAAGTTGTCAAGCTTGTTGATTTTCCCTCTTTTCAATTTTTAGCTGTTTTAGACTAGATTCTTAATAGTTCTAGGCTGTTAAGTAATTTAAACACAAGTCTAGTGTCAGGTTCTATTGACATCATAAAATATTGCTTCTTGCAAGAACTTTAATTTCACTTTGTAATAAATTGTCATTGTAAACATGTTTTACATTACAGCAGAGATTGATAGGAAAGGAAGATGCTAGTGTGTTGTTGTTTTGCTTTGTTTTTTGAGATGGAGTTTCACTGTGTTGCCCAGGCTGGCCTTGAACTTGTGGTCTTCCTGCTTGAGCCACTGAGTAGTTGGGATTACAGGCCTATGCCTCAATGCCTGGCTCAAGATGCTAGTTTTTAAACAAAAAATGTTTGAGTGGAGGCTCTTAGGTGAGTTCATTAGTGAATATTTTTGTGTTATGATGTGTGTGTGTGTGTGTGTGTGTTTTATTGTGGTACTGGGAATCCAACCGAGAGCCTTTCCTCATGCATGTTAGGCAAGTGCTTTACCACTGAGCTCCACTGCCAGTCCTTCTATGGTGTTTTATTACACATCATCATAACACTCTGGATTCAGCTAACTAATAATTCAAAAAACTTATTGTATTTGAGAACTACAAAAAAAATATGTGGTACTAAGATCAATACTTTAATGAAACAAAACGTCCACATACAAACTCTAGAAATCAACATGCAGGATGTTTACAGAGAATGATTTGGGAATACACATCCATGAATACGAGCTGGGGTTGTGGCTCAGCGGTAGAGCGCTTGCCTAGCATGTGTGAGGCGCTGGATTCGACCCTCAACACCACATAAATAAATAAATAAAGGTGTTGTGTCCAACTACAACTAAAAACAAAATATTAAAAAAAAAAAAAAACAAAACACAAAACATCCATGGACAGGAAAGGGATGCAAGACTGAGCAAAGGGGGAGGGGCCCAACAAAAGCCCAGCAAACCCAAAGGTCACATGGTTCAAATTGCCCTGCTTTGAGGCAAAGTGGCTGGGCCTGTATGCCTGTAGTGACCACTTCTTGGATGCAATCTGTCCCTGGAAGGAGGGGAGGCAGGACCCAGATTTGGGGCTGTCTCCCACCCACACTCCAGCAGCTGGGTGGGTAAGTTCTTCATTCCTGGAGGGAATCTGGTAGGCACCTCACAGGGTCCACTCTGCAGATCTGAGTGTATATGAAGAACTTGGTGTCTGTTTAAGTGTTGGTCATGAATCAGGGAAATGAAATCTGCTTGATAAGTGATGTTGGAACCATTGATTGTAACCATGGGGAACACACATGGATTAGACTGTTATCTCATCTTACCCGACATTAATTTCAGATAGACTAAAGAATTGAAAGAAAAAGGAAACAATACACCTAATACTTATCAGCTTGAAGGAGAGGGAAATGCAAGTAAACTTAGATGATGCCAATAAAATGATTAATAGATTTGATCATATGAAATAAAAATTTTAATTAAAAATTTTACACAAAATTAAAAGGCAAACAAAACTGAGAACATGTTTGCAATGAACACAAGAAAATATTAATGCCTATTAATTTATATTTGATTGGTTCTTTGTTATCCTATCCTTCCCTCCCTTTCCTTACTCTAGCTTCGGCCTACAGAGACCATTGAGTTTCTGAGTTTGACTTATTTCACTGAGGACAATACGGTATTCTCCATTACCATCCATTTACTGGCAAATGCCATAATCTCATTCTTTTTAGAAAAGTGATCCTGCAAATAAAAAAGAGAAACCCAACACTTATGTTAATTAAAACTACCATGATAACTAATTAGAACAATTTAAAAACAAACAAAACAACAATAACAAAAACCCACAACGAGCTACCACTTCACACCCGTTAGGACAGCTATGATAAAACCAAACAACAGTAGTGGAGTTGGGTCCGTTGCCCCGGCTTGGAACGCACGCGCGTCCACGCGGCTTCACCGGTCCTTGGCCAGTTCGTGCCCACTCGGTCTCCGCCTGCCTCAGTTCTGCCTCGCTGCGAGGCCTGCAGTATGGCCCTCACGCAGATCTACTGCTCAAACCAGTATTCGAAGAGCACTAGGAGTACCGGTATGCCATGTTACCCAGAGAACTTTCCAAACAAGTACTTTCCAAACATGTCCAAAACCCATGTCATCAATGTCTGAAGAGGGGTGGAGGAGACTTGGTATCCAACAGTTGTCAGTGCATGATTCATGAGCCAGAAACACATACTCTTTCTCTTTAGATGGCCTCTTCCAAAAGAGCAACAAAAATGAAGTGTATCTGGGATCATCAATTAAATCTTTCACAAATTTAATGTATATGTGTATATAAGGTAGTATTCAGTGAATACTTGAAAAATGTATAAATTATTCATCCAGACCTGTGCATGACCTGCATTCTTCACAACAGAGCTCAGTCAAATGCAACTACAAATAGGTTATTGTAAATTGTTTAAGATAAAATTTCTTCTAGCAGGGAGCCATAGTGCACGCTTGTGATCCCAGGAGCTCAGGAGGCTGAGGCAGGAGGATCTTGAGTTCAAAGCCAGCCTCAGCAAAAGCAAGGCACTAAGCAACTCAGTGAGACCCTCCCTTTAAATAAAAAAATATAAAATAGGGCTGAGGATGTGGCTCAGTGGTCAATTGTTCCTGAGTTCAATCCCCAGAACCCCCATCCCAAATTCTTCTAGTCAGTTTTTCTCTTAATATCAATGCCTGTTTGATATTACCTGTTATTTTTATTGAATAAAATTTTTATGTAAAATAATAATAAAAATAAAACAAACAAACCTCCAGCAAACAAAAAGTGTTATCGAGGATGCGGAGAAATTAGATCCCTCATGCATAGTTGATAGTAATTTAAAATGGTACAGCTACTGAGGGAAACACTGTGGGAATTCCTTAAAGAATTAAACACATGTGATTACCATATGATCCAGCAATTCCAGTCCTGCAGATATATTCAGAAGCATTAAAAGCAAGGACTTGAACAGATATTTGTAATAAACATAGACAGCAGCATTATTTATAGTACCCAAAAGTAGAAGCTACCAAAATGTTCATTGGCAGATGAATGGATAAACAAAATGTGACATACAATGGACTATTATTTGGCCTTAAAAAGAAATTAATTCTAACATATGCTCCAATATGGATAAATCTGGAAAATATTATTATGCTAAGTGAGATAAACTGAATCCAAATAGCTTGTATGATCTACCCATTTATCTGAGATCCCTAGAATAGTGACACTTATAGAGACAGGAAGTAGAGCCATACGGGTAGAGGGAAGGAGGAGATGATGAATGGGCAGAGTTTCTGTTTGGGGTGATGAAAAAATTCTGGAGGTGGATGGTGGTGATGGTTACCTAACAAGGGGAAGGTACTTTATGCTGCAGAACCAGACATTTAATAAATCGTTAAAGTGGTAAATTCTATGTTAGGTACGTTTACCATGATAAGAAAACCCCAACACATCCGTGCTGAAATGTGAGCAGGCAAAAAATGTAAACAGGTAACTCAAAAAATAAAACAACAAAGTGACTTTTAGGCATATAAAATATTAAATTTCATAAATAACAGTAATTTAAATCAAAAGATCAAGATATAATTTGTCACCTCTAAAACTGGAAAAAATACTTTGTACTAATATTCAATTACAGTATTAATATTTATGTATTCTCATAACAGGCAAAAATTTGTACAAGCTTTCTGGAAAGCATCTTGCAAATTATGCAAATGGTACTTTATTTTTATTAGTGCTTTTTATTTTTTATTTATTTTTAAATTTTTTTAATATTTATTTTTTAGTTTTAGGTGGACACAATATCTTTATTTTGTTTTTATGTGGTGCTGAGAATCGAACCCAGTGCCTCATGCTTGCTAGGTGAGCACGCTACCACTTGAGCTACATCCCCAGCCCAGCGCTTTTTATTTTATTAATTATATACAGTAGTTGGGTTCATCCCAACAAACTCATTCATGTGTGGAAATTTATTCCAGTTCATGATTCATCTTTCATCCTTCCCCTTCTCCCCGAGCCTCTTCTCTTCTCCTCTCTCTACTCTAATAGATTTTCGCTTCCTTGTTTTATTAATTTACAATTGATTGGTTCTTCCATATAATATATATTTCATTACTTATAAAATTTAATGTTTTATATATGTATAAGTCACTTTGTTGTTTTGTGTTGTGAATTGCCTGTTTTATATTTTTGCCTGCTCACATTTCAGTGTGGATGTGTTGGGGTTTTTTTTTCTTTTCATACATATATAATCACGATTTCTTAATCCATTTATCTATTGACAGGCATCTGAGACTTAGCTATTGTGAATTGTTCTGCTATAAACACGAAGTGGCTGTACCATGACAGTATGCTGATTTTAATTTTGGGAAAATACCAAGGAGTGGGATAGCTGGGTCCATCCCCAGTTTATTGAGGAATCTCCATATTGTTTTCCAGAGTGGTTTTACTAGTCCACAGTACTACCAACAACTTTCCAGCATCGTTGTTTATATTTTTCCAGCAGTATCATTGTTTATATTATTTTTTTGGTTTTTTTTGGGGGGGTGGGTATTGAACTTAGGGGCACTTGACCACTGAGCCACATCTTCAGCCCTACTTTTTTTTTTTTTTTAATTTTCATTAGCAGCCTTGGAAAGAGAAATTCACATCAGAACTCAGAGTAAGGCAAAGACCCCAACAAAACCCAAAATATCTGTTTTTTCCTTAATTCTTTATAACAACTTTATAATTAACAACTTTATAACTCCCTATGGGGAGGGGCAATTCCTAGGATAGGTTACCTTAGCAACAGGTTGGAGCAGGGGCAAGTTCTTGATAAGGGTGGAGCTCTAAAGAAATTAACATTTCAGTCATTTCATTTTTTATATCTGACCCTTGCCTATCTGCCTGTCTAATTCTGGCTTCACCAGGAGCTGAAATAAACATTCAGAGACGAATCAGCTTTGTTGGCAAGGCAAGAATTTTACATCTACTCAAAGGATGCACAAGCAGTCAAAATTGAAATCAGGTGCAGGCAGTCTGCTCAGCTTTATCCCTGACACAAGGGTGATTGGCTGCTGTCCATTGGTCCAAACTGACCACAAAGTCTTTGGCGTAAATAGCCACTAAAGAAAGGGACACTTAGCCAGGTCTCCTTGGTTGGGACTGACTGCACTGTCTCCTATTGGGTTATTTAAAGAAATACACCTCAAGTTGTCCCTACCTGCCTTTGTTGCCTTCTGGTGGGAAAGTCCTGTTGGGTTGAATGCCTTTTGGTCTATGGGTGCTGGGTTTGTTGTCTCCTTTCAGCAAAGAATTGAACAGGACACAGAGATAGAAAGCAAGAAGAAAGTTTATTGAAGAGAGATACAAAGATAGACTTCTCCAAAAACAAAGGGCCCCAGAGCTGGGAATCCAGTGGGGAGTGTTGGCCTGTTCTCTTTATGGTCTCTGGATGGATTTCCTCCTTCCCTTACCTCCTCTTCTGTCCACTATTATTGATTGGTGCCCCCTCTGTCCAAGGATCTGTTTTTGTTTTTCTATTGAAAAACACTTAGGAGCACAAGCATGGAAGTGTCTGCCTGACTGGATCCCCTGTGTGTGTCAGCGAGCACTTTTGTCAAGCAGGAGATGATCTCATCAGAAGACCCCTCTCCATGCTCCTTTGTTCTAGCCCTGTCCCCGACCTCCTTGCCCTCCTAGCCATCTTGCCCTGGCTGCCTAAGCCCCTCTATCTCTCCCTAACCCTAACCCTCACTTTGTTCTCATGCAGTGGGAAAGTGTTCGGGTTGAATGCCTCTTGGCATGTACACTTAGGAGAAAGTGAAGGCTGGGGAAGTACAGATTTTAAAAAGATAGGCAGCCATTGAAAGAAATTGGCAGTCAGGAAGTGAGGAAGTTAGAATGGAGTTTCTCCAGTTTGACAGAAAAGACTGATGAGCTTGTTTCCCTCCATGGCAGAAGGTACCACTTGAACAAAGAACTTGAAGTGAAGAGCAAGTGCTGTGAATATTTGTGGTGGAAAATTCAGGAAAAGGGAACAGAAAGGGACCCAGGGCTAGACTATGTGAGTGTACTTGAGGCGACATCACAGAGACCTCTGGGCCTGGCCGGTGTGGCATGAACAAGGGTGAGTGTGTTAGGAAATGAGGTGTGAAATTTAGTGGGGCCAGGTCAATAGGCCTTGAAGGTCCTGGTTAGGACCTTGGGCTTTACTCTGAGGGAAACAGGAAGCCTTTGGAGGGTTCTGAGCTGAAGTCCTGATTTCAGTTTTAAAAGAAGCACTGGCTAATATTTGGAGCACACTCTACTAAGAGTCAAGGGTGGAAGCAACACAGATCAGTTAGGAGGTTATTAAAATTCCAGACAAGACAGGATGGTGCCTGGCCCTGATAGATTGTATTTTGAAGGTGGAGCCATGGATCAGATATTGGATGTGAGATGAAGACAGGAACCTGGTGACTGTAAAGGATTTTGTTTGCTTATGTTTTTGTTATTGAGACAGAGTCTCACTTACGTTTCTCAGGCAAACAATCCTCCCCTGCCTCAGCCTGTGTTGTGGTTTAGGTCTGGAATGTTCCTTAAAATGTTCATGTTTGGGGAGCATAATCCCCAATGCGGCGAGGTTCAAAGGTGAGTTTAGGGGGCAATGATGAGGGCTCTGACCTCATAGGTGAATTAATCCATTTGCTGGATTAATCCATTGATAGTTGAATGGACCACTAGGTGATAACTGTAGGCAAGTGGGAAATGGCTAGAGGAGATGGGTCATTGGGGGTACAGCCTTGGGAAATATGTCTCTCCCTGGCCCCCTTCCTCCCTTTTCTGTCTTTCTCTCTCTCTCTCCCCACTCCCACTTCTTCCTGGCTGCCATGAACTGAACAGTTTTCCTCTGTCACATCCTTCCATCCTGATGTTCTGCCTTACCTCAGGCCCAGATCAATGGAATCAGTGGGATTGGCTGACTGTGAACGAAACCTCAAATACATTTTTCCTCTAAGTATTTCTTGTCAGATATTTTGGTCACAGCAATAAAGATATGACCAACAAAACCTGATTCCAGGGTTTTGATCTGAATAAGAGTGAATTTTGGTCTTAATTACTGAGATGAAGAATACTATTGGAGAAGAGGATTTGGGGAGCAAGGAATCCAGGGACTGACTCTGGAAAGGTTAAGTGGGAGGTACCTGCTGGGAATCAAGTATAGAAGCAGTCTGAGTAGTTGGAAGCATGAGTTTGGAGATTTGAAGTGAAATCAAGGCCACAGACATTAACGTGGAAGCTAAAAGTGCATGGATAAGTAGTTAGGGTGTGGACAGAATGAGAACATCTAGTTAGTGGAGTAGAATGGATAAGAGCCCTGGGTACTCCAATATTTGGAGGTTAGGAAGAGGAGGGAGCATCAGCAGAGAGGACTGAGGTGGGGCAGTGAGTAGAGGAAGACCAGAAAGTGGTATTAATACCATCTGCCCCCGACTTTCTGTACAAACTGATTACAAGCGTGCATCAAAATCTTGTGTTAAACTTGCTTCAATGGGCTGAAGCAAGATGGAGGTCAGTGGTAGAGCACGTGGTTACCCTTTGTAAGGCCCTGATGAGGAGTGGGAGGACCCGGTGCAAGGATGATAGAGGTTCCCCTGACATCAGAATAAGTCCAATTGAAAATTTTTCTGCAACGCATCTTGCAAATTATTGAGATGTTTTAAATGTTCACATTTATTGATCCAAAATCCAATCACTAGGGAGCTACTCTGAGGAAATAATTAGAAACACAGGTACAAATAGATTCATAGGAATTCTTATTATAGTATTTTAACTCTGAAAAAGATGAATCAACCTAAACACCTATTAGTAGAGCTTGGTTAAATAAGTGTTAGCATATTCATTCATTTTTCCATTCAATAAGTATTTGTTAAGTGTGCCAGGTACTTGAAAGGGCTTTGTCATAGATCAGGAGGGGTGGGAGGGAGTCTTTGGTGCAAAAAGACATGAGGTCAGTTTTATTATTCTGAATTTGGGGCCTGGTATGAGAAACAGCAACATCAAAAAGTGCCATCGGATAAGAGTCCAGATGCCTGATGCTAAGAACTGCTCACAGTGTCCACTGGAGAGTAATCAAGACTGGCCCAATGATTAGGGCTTTGATCTCATGGGTGAATTAATCCATTTGCTGGATTAATCCATCTACAAGGCACACCAAGGTCATATAACATTCAGTGTTTTCAGTTTCTTTAGACTCAAGGAATCTCCTATTGTTCTATTACTATGCTTATAATTGTCTATGGTCATAAAATTTCCAAAAAAAAAAAAAAAAAAACCCGGCAAAAAAGCATAGGTCCCATTAAATAGGGTAGGTGAGGTAAGAACTCTCTGCCATGGGATATAATAGGGAGAAAGCAAATCATAATTTTTTTTTTTGTACTGGAGACTGAACCCAGGGGTGCTTACCACTGAGCTACATCTAAAACCCATTTTATTTTTTATTTTGAGACAGGGTCTCATTCAGTTGCTGAGGCTGCCATCCTCTTGTCTTACCCTCCACTGGGATTATAAAAGTGTGCCACCAGACCAGCCAAATAACAACATGTTGCTGCATCATGTTAAAATCAAATTGTTATTCAAGGATTATTCCTCTTCCAGTATACTAATTCTCTCCTCCTACTATACATACAACTTTTAAAAATTAATTCATTTTAACATATTTCAGTATGTGGGTATTTTAAATGTGCATTAATATATACAGTTATATTAAATTATGACAAATGAAAATATTAAAAGCTTTAAAATTTAGAATTTAAAATATAATCTTATTGAGCTGGACGTGGTACCACACGACTGTGATCCCAGAGACTGGGCAGCTGAGGCAAGAGAATGGCAGCAGGGACGAGGCTGGACTCAGCAACTAAATGAGACCCTGTCTCAAAATAAAAAGGGCTGAGGAGGTAGTTCAGTGGCTTCAATTTCATATATATATATAATTTTTTTCCTTATCAATTGTTATCAGTCACATTACAATTCTTATTCCATGGACTTTAACCTCTTGATTTGAGAATCATTAAGAAAACATGTTTTCTTATTTATAGGAACAAGATAATATAGTAATAATTGTGTGTTGACCAGGGGATTTTTTTTTTTTAGAGATTGGGTCTCCCTATGTTGTCCAGGTTGGCTCTGATACTGTTTTTTTTTTTTTTTTAATATTTTTAAAGTTGTCAATGGACTTTATTTATATACGGTGCAGAGAATCGAACCCAGGGCCTCACACATGCTAGGCAAGCGCTCACCACTGAGCTACAACCCCAGCCCTCCAGGTTGGCTCTGATATCCTGGTTCAAGTGATCTTCTTGCCAGCTGGTTCAAGTGATCTTCTTGCCAGCTGGTTCAAGTGATCTTCTTGCCATCTTCCTGAGAAGCTGGGACTACAGGCACATGCCACTGTGCTCAGCTGACCAGGAATCTTTTACTTTTCCTCCTTCTCTTCCTTCTCCCCTCCTCCTCCTCCTCCTCCTCCCCTCCTCCTATTCCTCCACCCCTTACCTCCCCTTCCCATCCCTTTCCCCCTCCCCTCTTGTTTTCCTTCTCCTCCTCCTCCTCCTTCTTCTCTTTCTCCCTGTACTGTTAAACCCAGGGCTTTGCACATGCTAGGGAATACTCTGCCACTGAGTTATGCCATTTATCTATTTTTAATCAATTTCATTTCCTTGGCCAGGCATAGTGGCGCACACATGTAATCCCAGCAGCTTTGGAGGCTAGGCAGGAAGATAAAAAATTCAAAGCCAGCCTCAGCAACTTAGTGAGACTCTGTTTCAAAATAAAAATGGCTGGACATGTAGCTCAGTGCCCCTAGGTTCAATCCCCAGCCCAAAAAAGAGGGGGCACTACATATGATCACTGGGCATCAGTGCTATTGCTGCATGTCAGCCTCAGTCAGTTGGTGGTAGCAGTTCTAGAGTGAAATTGATGTCACCCGGATCACAGACCTCTGTAATCATTATAAGAGAAGCCACAAGTTTTTGGCCAATTTCAGCTCCAATTGGATGGGAAAATGGTTTCTCCCCCTCACCAAGACTTATGGTGGGAAGAATCTGCTAAAGCAGAGGGTTTCATGTGCCAGTGGCCAATACAATGACACATGTCAGTGTAATAGAAACCCAGTTATTTTCTCATAATATGAAGCTCTGGGGGAAGCAGTTGATGACAAGGACTCAACCATTTCTCAAGTTGTGTCTGGGTAGCATGACTTGTGACTTCTCATGACTGATTGCCTAAAGGGTCCCAGGTGGCACCCCTGCCAGCAGGTCTAGCCTCAAGACAGACAGAAGAGGGGCAGAGCTCTGCCAACTGTATCATCTTCCCTTTTATTGAAAAGGCAAAATCTTTCCTAGAAATCCTCCATAGACCTTTGCACATGTCTCTTTAACCAGAATTGTCATAAAGCCCACCCTGGAAATGAGGGAAACTGGGAAGATATTTAGTTGGTAGATTGCTACCTCCTCCAACAAACTGGAGCTCTGTTACAACAAAAAGGAAGAAGTGGAGCTAGGATAAGCAATGAGCACTGTTGGCTCCAATTAGGACTGGGCCTGAAAGGGTGATAAGAACCACCAAATTTCTCCCCATGCCATTTATCCAGAGACCATATTATATGGTTTTTGTATTAGCCTGCTTTCTGTTGCTCTAACAAAATACCTGAAGATGGGTACTCTATAAAGAAATGAGGTTTATTTATTTCAGAGTCTAAGATTTGGCAGCCCCTGCAGCTGAACTTTAGTGAGGGTCATCACAACATGGTGAATAACATCATGGTGGGAGGATATGCAAGGGGTAAAGATTTCATGGCCAGGAAACTGGGGAGGGACAAGTCTTGCTCTTTTTATAACAACCCGCTCTCACAGGAGCAAATGGGGCCCATGAGAAGTCCATTACTTCCTTCAAGGGCCTCATCCCCAGTGGCCGAATTACCCCCCACTAGGCCCATCTCTTGCAGGTTCTACCACCTCAACACTGCCACACTGAGGACCAAGCCTCCAGCCTATAAACCTTTGGGGGACAAACCACATCCACATCATCACAAGCTCCAAAAAAGCCAACACTGTAAGAGCAGATGTCCCAGTTTACAATATGTGCGTATGTGGGGGTAGGGAAGGTATCTCTGAGAAGTCACTGGAAGCAGCCAAAGCCCCCATTCCTGAACCTCTGTGATGTCACACTTGACATTTCTTCCCTTCTCTGCTGTAGTCACAGCAGTCTAGGTGCCAAAACAGAAGAGGGATCTGGTGGCCCTCATTTCTCTGAGAACAGGAGGCCTAGCCATGCCTTTCTCATAGTATGTCATGCACCAACTCCAACTCTGCTCAGATATTCCTGGTTTCTCCCAATCCTCTTTCAGCTTTAATGCAATGCTGCTGGTCACTTTCAGTGGCCTTTTCTCCTTCCCATGAGTGTCCCATGCAAGCTGTCAGTTTTCTTAACAAAGAGATAGAAGGGAAAATAGACAATGATAGTGCAGAGGCAGGGAAGTGGATAGACAGGGTCAGCAGGGGAAGGAGGATATAGAGTTAGAGGAAACCCGATATGCAAGCACAGAGGTGTAGAGAGCCTGATGCATTTAGGGAACTTTGGGTGACTGATAATGCTGGTGACATTTGGTGGAGTCTTCATGGTCTGTCTCTAGCCTGGATATTTAGAGCTGTCCTTAAGGTATGTAAGTCTGACCTCAGGTGAGCCAGACCTCACAGGGAGCTCTGGGTTGCCCCAGACTAGAACTGAGCCTGGCTCTGGTTTCAGTTGCAGGTGGCTGGCCCAGAATGGGGAGTGGGCTTTTCCCGAGGTAATGGGACTTCTCTTTGTCCTAACCATCTGCAGTATGATTTCTCTCAATTTCTCAGATCCTGGTATCTTGCATCGAGGTAAGACTTCAGACCCCTGAGAAAAGGAGGTGGCACCCCAAGGGCTGATGCCTTCAGAGGTGATTTCTAAAGTGCTAACCCCACCTATGAACTCAGGATCCCTCTCTCCATGTCATCATTACTTAGGCCCTGGCACTTAATTTCCCAAGCCACTGAGGAGAGAAGAAACAGAATCCTGGAGGTTTTCCAGTTGCTTTAGCGGGGAGGACTGAGCAGGCTGGCAAGAGAGGCAGCAGGCTCTTCCAAACCACGCAGTTCACCCTTCCTCCTTCCCATTTCACACCCGATTCCAAGCACTGATCACTATTCCAAAGGGGGGAGCTCCATGTAGAGCTCCTGTGGCTGGACAGCCCTTCTCTCTGACTGCCGCCCATCTGAGTGGTCAGCTTGCTCAAGGGACCGGGATTCCCCTGCCCACCTCCTCCCCACCCTTCTTGTTGCCCAGTGATACTATGGGGCAGCCCCAAGCATCAGAGTGGTGGAAGGGCCTCCTGCCATTGCCCAAACCTCTTCCCATGCCAGGCGCCTTCAAGCAGGACCCTGAGGCAGCATATGTGGCCTTTCAAATGCCCTGGTGCCCACATTGTTCCTTCCACTGCCTTCCCTGGACCTTCCACTGCCCCTTATGCAACATCTATGTGGAGGTGAGTACTCCTCCTTCCTGTTCACTCTCCCTTCCCCAGGCACCTAGCCAGGACTGGGAACCTCACATCATATGTGGGCCAAGGGTGGGTATGAGACCATCTTCCCAGACTGCTAAAAGTGGCTCTCAGCCACTCTAGGTCACTTACATCTGTATTGCCTCTGTGTCTGTATGTGTCCTGAGAGGCTGGCCTTGCTTGCACAGGTGCTGATAGGCAAAGGGCATCTCATCTGTGCTGAGCCTGGTGGAGTCAGGGGGAGGAAAGGCAGCGCCTGTCCCATCCTCTGGCTTACAGATACTAGATACCCAGACCTTTAGGCTGACTGATGCCTGTCCACCTCTGGGTGTCCAAGCTGGAGGGTTTCCTGGGTTCTGAGTGCTCTTTTCTCACATGCACACCCTGAGTAGACTTACAAGTGCAGAAGGCTGGCTGGGCAAGCAAGTTCTTCACATCCTTATTCAGTATCTGAGAAAATAGAGGCTCAGACTTACCCTATACCTTGCTTGAAGTGACACCAGGCAGGTCTTATCTCTAAAGACTTCACTCAGGACAGGTGACCTGATGAGCCATGGCGTCCTAACTGTGCTCTAACCATGGAAATGCTAGTTTCGCCCTGGATATGGGAGCCCATGCATAGGGCCAAGAGCAGGAGGTCTAGGGGCTAGGTTGGGGGAGGCCTCAAGATTTGGGGCTGATGGGCTAGGCCAGATAGACCCTTGAGGCCTTCCTCCTCTCCCCTAGGACTTTGACCACCACTGCAAGTGGGTCAATAATTGCATCGGTCATCACAACTTCCGCATCTTCTTGCCACTGCTCATATCCCTTGCCTCTACCTGAGTGTCCTGCTGGCTACCTGCCTGATATTCCTCCTGCGCACGAGACACGGACCCTTCTCCCTGGACAAAGCCATGGCGTATCCACACCGTACCAAGGGCCCGCAGTGGGAAGAGCACAGGCTTGGGACTGGAGGGACCGACAGCCAAGGGGCAGGGTAACCGATGGTGGGGCTGACGTGGGTGGGGCTAGAGGGAGGAGCCACTTGGGAGGATCTGTGAAGGACAGGTTGAAGGCGAGTGGGTCAGGGAGATGGATGGGGTAGGATGGACTGTGGAGTTAAGAATCTAGCGGAGCCAGGGAGTGGGGCAATGAAGGTCGAGAAGGAACAGGCGGGACAACAGCGCGGTGGAGTGAGGTTTCGCTTTGCTGACTGGACCAAGCGTTCAGTCCAGGGTGGAAGAGTGGGTGGGCGGGGCTAACAAGACGGGGTTTGGGGGCGTGGTCAAGTAGAGGGGCAGGGCCAAAGAATAACTCTTTGGTGGCTTGGCTTCTTAGCCAAGCTTCATCCTAGCTCTACCTTCCACCAGCCTCCTGCTGTCGCTCATCCTGCTCCTGCTGATCCAAGCTGCGTGGGTGAGCGCCGCCAGGCGCCCCTAAGAGGGCAAGGTAAGCAGGGCAGAATGTTCTTGCACATCTGCGGCTCCAGCACTTTCTGTGCTTTCTCCACTGCCCTTGCTTCTTGAGTCCTTCTGGACCCATCCCTTAAGATGCAGCTCAAATCTCTCCTCCCCCTAGAGCTCAGTGTTCCTTCTCCCTCCTGGGCACATTGAGTGGAGAGCCTACTGTGTGCCAGGCTGAGTGTTTTTTGAGGGATGTGTGTAGAGGTAAGTACATCCTGCACTTGTGTTGATAAGCAACCGGCCGACACCCAGGAACACTCTGAGAGGGGGTCATACCAGAGTGTTGTAGCAGACTGGAAGAAACTGAGAGTTTGGCGAGGCCCACGGTTGTAGAGGAGGACATGCAGCTCTTTATGTCCTAGGTATCACTGTGGAGAGGCAGAGGACAGGGGGGCATTGCCTGATGAGAGGCACCTGTGCAAAAAGGCACAGAAACCCGAAAGTAGGATGTTAACAGAACGATGAGAAAAAGGCTCTAATTCAAGCCCAAGGGCAATGAAGTTGACCCCGTGGGGGGGTCAAGATTAAAAAGACCCACAAAGTCAAGCGTGGAATTTAGTTTTGGTGAAGGGGAAACCTGGGAACCATCTTGGGATTTTTTTTTTTAAGTCGCTTATTGAGGAAATGGTAAAAATTACCCTTTTTAGTCTATAGTTAGGGATTTTGACAAATGGATACTGTCCTGCATTCTCCACTATGACTAAAGTTAGACCAGTTTTATTACCCCAGAAAATCCTTTCATCATCTTTTGTTGTCAGTTTCTCTCCCTATGTCCTGGTTTTTCTTTTTCCAGAATCATGTAAAAATGGAGTTGTTGTCTTTTTAGTCTGGCTTCATTCATTTAGCACAATGCATTTGAGATTCATTCATGTTATTGCTCATATCAGTAGTTCATTTCCTTTTATTGTTATGTAGTATTGTATGGATGCCCTACAGGTTATTTATACATTCACCAATGGAAGGATTTTTACATTGTATCTAGCTTTTGGCAGTATTTTTTGTTTGTTTTGGGTTTTTTGTACCAGGGATTGAACCCAGGGATGCTTAACCATTGAGCTACATTCCCAGATCCCCTCCCCCTTTGTGTTTTCTTTATGGAAATTTTTTCTTTTTTTAATCTTAAGACAGGTTCTCGCTAAGTTGCTTAGGGCATCACTGAGTTGCTGAGACTGGCTTTGAACTTGAAATCCTCCTGCCTTAGCCTCCCAAACTTCTGGGATTACAGGTGTGGGCCATGGTGTCCAGGTAGTTTTGGGCAGTTACAAATATATTTGCTACAAACATTGGTATATAGGCATTGAATATAAGTTTTCAGTTCTGTTGGGTAAATTCTTAGGGGTCATTGCTGAGTCATAAGGTAACTGTTTGTGGAACTTTATAGGAAATTGTCAAATTTGTCTTCTAAAACCACTATACAATTTCTAGTTTCTACCAGCAATGTATGAGAATTCCAGTTGCTCCACATCCTCACCAACATTTGACCCTGTCATTTGTTGTTATTTTCTTTTGTCTTTTAATCGTAACCTAATAAATGAGTCGTGGTATCTCATTAAGGCTCCAGGTTGAGTTTTCCTATTGAGTAATGATGTTGGGCATATTTTCATGTCTTTTGCCCATTAAAACAACAACAACAACAAAAGGGTTGTTTTCTTATTGAGTTTTAAGAGTTTTCTACATCAGATTCAGATCTAGGTTTTGTAAATCTCTTCTTGCAATCTGTTCCTTGTCATTCCATTTTCTTCGTAGCATCTTCCCAAGAGCAGGAGTTCTTAGTGTTGTTTTTCCAGGACTGGGGGTTGAATCAGGGGTGCTTGACCACTGAGTTCTCCCCAAGCATTTTGTAGTTGTTGTTCATTCTACGTAGAAAATTATGTCATCTGTGAAGAACAGTTTCATTACCTTCTTTCCAATCTGTGTGTCTTTATTCCTTTTCCTTTTAGTGTTGAATAGGAATGATAGGAGTGGGCATCTTTACCATGGGATTCCTTTAGTATGGCAATCACTTGACTAAAGGCTCTTTCAAGAAGACTGGTGGGCAGCATCAGTGGGGGAGGGGAAGCTTTAGATCCCGAGACAGTGAACAGACAGAGGAGCCTCTCTGCTCATCACCTCCCATCCTTTTAGTCACCACCCCACCACTGCCATATGTGGTTCTCTCCCCCCTGTGACTCCTGTGCTTGGCCCTTATTCCTCAGCCCTGTGGTCTGCCTTTCTTCTCTCCAGCTTCTAGTATCATCATTGAGTTTGCCTGGCAGCCTTTTCCCTCCCTCCATCCTGTGGTTCTTCCAGCCCCAGGTCAGGCCATAGGCCATCGCCCTTCCTCCTCTGCTCAGAATGAGGCCCTCCAAGTCCAGGATCCTCAGTCTCAAGGGACCTAAATGTGGTCTGCACTGGGATTCACCAGACAGGGCTCCTTTCCATTACCTGCAGCACCCATCTCAGGCACTGATCCCATGCTCCAACTTTCACTCCCACCATACTCCATTCCCTGACTGCAACTCCTCCTGGAGTCACTTGCTTGGTGGTTGGTGGCAAGGACTCTAGAGCCAGACCACATAAGTCCAAATCACAGCTCTTCAACATACCACCAGCAGGGAGACCTTGGGTATGCTACTTAGCCACCTGGTTGCTCAGTTTTCTATCTGTAAAAGAGTGAAGCATGGGTCAATTCACGTAAGAAACAGAACAGTGGCTGATAACATAAAGTGCCCTGTGTGCTGCTATTACTCTTACTACCATTCCTTCCCATGGTCATTTACACATGTTTGTGCTTCATCTTAAAAGCCAAGCAATCCCCACTCTTAATGTCCCAGGCCTTCACTCCACTTGTTGTACCCTCTGTGCCTTATTCTCTGAAAGAGTATGCTCTTGAACTTGTAATCCTCCCGCCTGAGTCTCCCGAGTCGTTGGGATTACATAAGTGTGCCACCATGCCCGATTTGACTGAGGCATTCTTGATGCCCTGAAATATTCCTGGCTGGGGGCGCATCTCAGTGGTAGAGCTTGTGCTTAGCATGAACTGGGCCTGAGTTCTTCAATCCCCAGCACACAAAGAAAAGAAATCTAAATAAATGAGTGAACCTACAAACAAAAGAATCAACATTTGGGGATAGAAGAAAAGAGAGAAAGGATCAGAGAGAAGCCTGGTGCCCTGATCCCCCAGGATAAGGGGAAGAAGGAGAGGCAGCAGGAAGTTGGGCAGAAAATGGGGCAAGAAGAAAATTCCACTTGATTTCGGTCCTGTGGGGGTATGGTGGCTTTTGAGACACAGAATTGGAGAAGGAGCCCCAGGAGTGGAGCCAGTAAGGGAGGCTGGTCCTGGTGCTTCAGAGCTGTTGGATTCTATTCATGTCTAATAGGGTTCCATGTGGGGAAAGGAAAGTATTCAGATTTTCTGCTCAGTTCTTAAAAATTTACTAATTATCTGGGGCTGGGGCTGTGGCTCAGTGGTAAAGCGCTTGCCTCACACATGCAAGGCACTGGGTTTGATCCTCAGTACCACATAAAAATAAATAAAGAGATTATGTCCATCTATAACTAAAAAACAAAATTTACTAATTATTATTCCTTTAAGCATTTTTATATACACTATGTACAATCAATCAACATTTTATATACTTTATATCCATCTAATCAAAAATTCTTTCAGTAAATTTAAAAATTCTGTAAAGTTTTTTAACACTTTGCCATTAATTAATTATTATTATTATTATTTTTGGTACTAGGGATTGAACCCAGGGGTACTTTATCATTTAAGCTACATCCCCAATCCCTCTTATATTTTGTTTTGAGATAGGGTCTCACTAAGTTACTGAGGGTCTTGCTAAGTTACTGAGGCTGGCCTTGAACTTTCGATCCTCCTGCCTCAACTTCCCAAGTCACTAGGATTCCAGGTGTGTGCCACTGCACCTGGCACGATACTAGTTTCTTAAGTGCTGTGAACACATTAAAGGAGGCAGAACACGTAGAACACAATAGTTCATGTTGTTTTTTGGACATGGTGGAATATTCCAGAGCTGTCCTGATGTGGAATCCTAGTTCCTCATAGTGGAGAATAGTGTTGAAGATCAAAGTCTTCATGCGAGGGTCAATGGAGAGTTGGGGTGGACAGAGGTGCTGCTGGGCCACTTTCCATTATGACAGAACTTTTGCTAGCTAAATCTCTTGAAGTTGAGACTCAATATGGTCTGGAAGGAGGAGGGGGCAAGGCTTATGAATGGAGTGGGGGGAAGGGAAAAGTGGAATAAAGTAGAGGAGAAGCCAGTCAGTGTCAAAGGGAGGACTTGACCTTTGAGCTTGACTTTTCCTGCTTTGTGTACTGAAGGCCTTCAGCCCAGATTTCCCTGGGCCATGTGATTTTTAAAAAAATTTTTTTATAGTTGTAGATGGACAGAATGCCTTTAATTTATTTATTTTATTTTAATGTGATGCTGAGGATCAAACCTAGTGCCTCATGCATGCTAGGTAAGCACTCTGCTGTTGAGCTACAGCCCAGCCCTGACCATGTGATTTTTGACTAGGAAACTATAATTGGGCCTCCCCTCTGCCCCTTCCCTCCCAGAGAGTGAAATTCAATGAAGGCACATTTTTTTAAAAAAATGAGAAGTGGGGAAGTGAAGTGGGAGTGGGGTGATAACACTGTCTTTGGAGCAGTTGAGCAGCACAAGGAAGATCCCAAAAAGTATCTGGAAGGATGGGTGAGAGGAAAGGTGTGGCCAATGGAGACAGAGCCAGGATCCTGCACAGGGAGGCACAAGGGGATGAGGAGCCCTGGGAAGGCAGGAGAGGTGGGTGCTGGGTCAGCACTGTCTGGGGAGAGCTCCTCACAAGTGGGGAAAGAGAGGTCACTCCTCCTAGAAGCCCAAGAAGGCAGGAGGCCCTGGGTCACTCTTGAGCTTCCCTGCCCTTGGAGTCTTGCTCCAAGCCTGGGTTGAGCCCTAGCTTAGTCAACCAACTTAGGGAGGGTCACTGGGAGATGGCCTTACCTGGTCCTGCTGGTTCTGAGCTCCTCTTCCCATCCCCATCTCCCTCCTGGGACAATTCCTTCAGGGGGACAACTTCTTCTACCAGGGCTGTGCCAGCAACTGGTATATGACCATTTGTGCACCGTTGGGATCCAAGTGAGTTGGTAAACAAGAGGCTCAAGTGGTGGACCCTGAGGCTGGTGGGGTGGGGTGAAGCTGGGTCTTCTTCCTTGGTCCCTGACCCCAGCTCCCAGACCCTGTCATCCACTGTCCTTTCTTTTGCGGTTTTCTCCAGGGCACTCTGGGACCTTCTGGGAACTTTTCTCCTCTTGCCTTTCTAATTTCTTGCCCCAAGAAATGGGGTAGAGGGGAACTGCAGCCTGGATGAGGTTCCTGTGTGAGAGCCCTGGGCTCTGTGCTTTCCCAGCTGAGGGATGAGGGTGGCCAGGGAGACCAGGCCAAGGTGGGTAGTGACTCCTTGCATTTGGCCTGTCACTCCACAGGTACTTGTCAGAAGCTGTCTGGCTGCAGAGAGAGGAAGTAACCGAGTGGGATTCCCTGCACGCTCTGTGCTTGCCAAGATACTCCTCCCCACACCATCCTACAGAGTTCCGTGGGCCCACATCTCAAACTCTGGGTTTCTACACACATGGGCAGGGCCCCCCAGGGAGTGGCAAGGCTGCAGCTTTCCAGGAAGTGAGGAGTAGCAGGTGTGCACTGGGAGAGGGGTGTCTGGGGGTTGCACATGTGTTAGGGGAAGCCCCTGAAGATGGGCTGGCCCTGAAACTGAAGCACTTAGAGTTTAAGAAGCAGGATTATGGACCTGGAGGGTGTGGGGTCCAGGTCACAAGACTTTACAGCACACCCAGGTGTCCCTGGATAGACAGAGAGAAAAGACTGCACCGCTAACTTTTTAGTTGGCCTTGGGCCAGTCCCTTACCTTTCTGGGCCTCAATTTCCTCAGCTATTAATGAGGACTGAGACCAGTTCTGTAGTGTATCATGTTTTAAAGGAGAAATTTTTTAAATGGAAATTTTTACTTGAAGTCCCCATGTGAAACAAACGGAGTGGAGCATTAGGAGCGCAGTGGGGTGGGTAACCCACAGTGCCCCTCAAAGTTCCTTGTAGTGACTTGTGCTGCCAGCCCTCTCCTTTGTCCTGTCTCCAGGGGCCCAGGGCTTGACTGTGAGCTATGGGGTGGAGGTCAGGGAGAGCCCCCATGTATTGACTCTGTGTTTAGCTTCCCATCAGCCCAATGCTGCAGTGGGAAGCCCCCAGGGGAGGCTTGGCCTCCCCTTCACCCCTTCACACCCAGCGATCCAAGGACGTGCACCTGAACTTCATTTCGTGAGCCCCACATGGAGGTCTTTTGTGCCTGAACCCTCATTCACTTCCTTTGGGAATGCCAAGACCCCCGTGCCTGTTAAATTCTCATAAATATTTTTTGCTGTTTCCTGCAGCTGCTCTGCATTGTCTGTTCTAGGTTCAGAGAAGTGTGTATCCTGGGGGTGTAGGGAGATTCTGAGGAGCTGGAAAAAAAATCCCTCCTCGAAGGGAAGATCCTAGGTCTCTGGAGACCCGATCTCAGGAACCAACACTGTCTGGCTCTTTGACCTTGGGCAAGACACTTAGCATTTCTCTCATCCTTAAAATGTGGCAACAGTAATAATCACAGTGACTGACCTGGCTGGCTTCCTGGCAAGGGCTGGAGATGAGAGCAGAGAAAACCCCCAGCCTGGATGTCAATGCTGGGGATGAACAGACCCTGCCCTGCAGCACCCCTGTCTGACTGCAGGGGGTGCCCGCTGCTCAGGAATTTGAAAAACAGGTCTGGCCCAGCCCTCTTGTGGGAGATGAGCCAGCCTGTGGCACTCTGGAGCCCCCTCCTGGCTGCCTCGTCCTGAGATGTGAGAGAATGGGGACATTCATCCAGCATCTCTTCTGCAACTGTGTCCCACCCTGGTTCCTTCCTCCTGCTGGAGTGCATCAGGTGCTGGTTCTGGTCCTGTCTCTGGGGTCAACTCAGGTCCTATGAGTCTGCAGGCCCCAGAGTTTGGGGCAGGGGGCACATCAAACAGCGTGTCAGTCTCCAGAGTGTGACCTTGGGACTGGGAATAATATCACCTTCGTAGTAGGTTGTTGGAGGAGGAGGTGAGGTGTTTCATCTGGTGCACAGCAGGCAAGCAATGAATGTAGCTGGAATGATCCATGGTTATTTTCTCCACCACGTAGGGCAACTGACCATCTCAGAATTTCTAGAGTAGTGGTGGTGGTTGTGGGGTGCTCTGAATTTGTATCAAGGACCCCATATCATCTTGCCACATGAAGCATCAGGACAGCCACAAACCATACTGCTTCCTTCTATCCTTGTATCCGGGTGAAATCATCTTATGTAATGAAGGTGGAAACAAAAGGATGTCACCCAAGGGGTCAGATGCACGTCCCCTAGGGTGTGTGTGTGTGTGTGTGTGCGTGCGTGCGTGTTGGTATAAGCTCATCCTCGGGGGTTTGTTCACCCAGCCCCTTATCCTCCCTGATCAGTCTTAGGAGGTGGGTGACCTACGATAGATACAGGATGTGTCTCCAACTCACCAGACCACAGAGTCCCACCACAAGACTGCTCTTCCTTCTTCCTTCCCTCCCCCACCAGTCCCTGGAAGCCCAGGCCCAGCCCCACCCGCCTGCCCTGGCTGGAACTCCAACTCTTCTCATCCCCTTTCCCTGTCCCAGTATCTATCCCCCTGGGCTCAAATTCCTTTGGGGCTTAAGGCTTTTCTCAAATCTTATTCCTGCTCACTTCCTCTGTCTGGGAAGCCCAAGTTCATGGGCACATGGCAGAGAAGGAGGGGAGGAGTCCCTGTGCCCAGATTTTAGTGCCTGGAACCTGTGTGTGCAGAAAGGATGGCTTAACCTCTTGTGTGTGCAGGAGGGATGGAGGGATGGCTCAACCCTGCTGACCACCAGGGGGAAAGGCCGAGTGGGGAAGCCAGAGGCTACCAAGCTCATTCCCAAAGGAGAGCCCTCCCGATAAACTGGATCTGGGTGAGGGAGGAGAGAGGTGGTCCAGGAGCCTGGGCCAAGGCCTGGATGTGCATCATGGAACTGCCTGGGTTGGGGAGTGCTGGAGGGAGTCCAGCTCCACGGGGGCTGAGAAGGCCAGGCCCCAGTCTCTGGGGAGTTCATGTTGCCTCCTCCAGCCCCGCTGGCTGTCCCCCTGCCATCCTGCCTATCCCCCTGCCATCCTGCCTGGTTCAGGTCTGCACTCATTGGCTCCCTGCCTTCAGGTATGCAGGGCCTCACTCGGTCTCAGGCAAGGGCCTTTCAAGTCCTAAGCTAGATGTGAGACATCTCCTTGACAATCTGGTCCTCAGTTTCCCCACTAGGGAAGGATGTAATTTCCCTCAGATTCTCAAAAGAGGGCGTGGCCTTTTCAAAGACAATAACTTCCTGCTCTGGAATGAAGATTTTGTGTCTGCCCCCTGCCCCCAGCCTAGGATTCCTAGAATTTCCTTAAGAAAGGCCCTTGGATTAGGCTCACTTCTTCTTGAGCCTTAAGTGGGACATAGAACATTCCTTCCTTTGATGTCCTCTATCATACCCCCTACCCTAAGCCTTGGGCCAGTCTTGCGACTCCTTGCCAAGTTGAGAGGCCTCAACTGGGCTGCACCCTCTTCCCTTTCTGCCCCCTCTTCGTTTCTTCTGAATGTGCCCTTGATTCTCAGATATGCCCCACCCAGTCCCTGGCCCACGGATAAGGCAAGGGGTGTTATCAGAGCCCAGCTATGAGGCCCACTGTCCACATACCCAGGAAACTCTGCCATCCCTGGGCCAGAGCCAAGGAATGGTCCCCACGCCTGCAGGGCTACCAGGTGCCCACAAGCTCCTAGAACCTGGGATGGAGAGCCTAGCAGTAGCTCCTTCCCATTTCCAGATCTTTCCTCATGGGCCTCTTGGGAAGTCAGGGCATATAGGATGAGACTCAACCCAGTCACCCAGCTCTGCTACCAACTCATGTGCCACAGGAGAATCTGTCTTCCCTTTACCCAGACTTGGCATCCTCAAGGTAATTGTTATATCACAACACAAAGAAAAGACCACCAACTCCAATTTTGAATCAAATTAAAGCAAGCATATAATTCTGACCAGCCAGGACTGTCTCTCCCGAAATCCTTTGGTTAGAAGGCAGTCCTCCAGCTCTCTAGGAGTGCAGTTTTATAGTATAAAAAGTTGCAAAAAGTGGGTGTCTCAAGATCTTACAACAGGATTTTGACAAGCATAATACAAAGGAAATGGTTCAGCACTTAGGGAGTAAATTTAGATCCCAACATCAGAATTTATGAGGTGCCATTAGGGCTTCAGAGAGGGTTGTTATCTGGTCAGGGGAAGCCAGACTTGGGTGAATTCAAGGCACGGACAGGTATTCCAAGCAAGTTTAGAAATCGCAGTAATTTATAGTAAAACAGAAATTAACTTTTCATGACTGTGACGAGATGGCTCGCAATCTTAAGATGGAATTAGGCTGGGTTCATCAGTAATTATAGGTACCACATTGGGTATCCATCAGTAATCATAGGTACCACAATGGGACTTTAGGAAGGGAAGGGAATCAGGGCCACCCTGTTCAGCTGTCTGCCACCCCCAGTTTCACAGATGGGGCTCTGAGACCTAGAGAGGGAAGTGGTTGCCCAAGATGACCTGGTGGCATCAAGCCTGATGGCTTTCTCTGGTTCCCAGGGGACCACTCTCATTCCTGCTTCCAGGGCCATTCTAGCAGGGGAAGGGCTTGGGCAGTGACCACAGGGCCCCACTCTCTAGGCAAACTTAGAGGTGGGCAGTGAAGTTCAGCACAGGGCTGGTTGCTGATAGGAAGACCAGTCTGAACTCCTCTCTAACCCTGCATTGTGCTGATAGTGCCTCCTGCTGCCTCCTGCTCAGCCCTGCCCTGCTCTGCCCTGACTGCCCCACCCAAGGTCCCTGCAAGTGGCTGAGGGTGGGGCAGGGCGGGGACCCATGGAGCAGAGGAGGTTACTGTGGTGTGGGATCACGGCCCAGACTTCTCACCCCTCACAGGGCACAGGCACCTCTGTGGCTACCCTTGTGGGCCCCTGGGCACAGTGCTGGGCACCCAGATGATTCTCCATGTGTCCAGGATCCTTTCCCTTTAGTTCTTAGCATGCAGGGCATGGCTGGAGGGAAGTAGCCTGGGATTGAAGGTTTGCCCTGGCCTAGATGACAAAACCTTCATTGAGCATTGCCTGGGCCAGACCCTAAGTGGTTAAGTGTGCCATGTGGTTCATATTCTCTCCTTAATCCTCAAATTAACCCTACAGAGTTGTTATTCTAGTTTTAGAGATGAGGAAACCAGCACTGAACAAACTAGTCACTTCCCCTAAGTCACGCTGCATGTAGGTGGCAGAGCCAAAAATACCTTAGGCCCTTTCCCAGGACACTGCCTTTCTGGGTGGTTACCACATTTGATTTCAATGTAGAGTAGCGGTTAAGATGCAGGCTCTGAAAAACGGGACTGCTGGGTTTTTCCTCCATGAATTGAAATGAGGAGTCACAGTTTGGTGGTGTTTGGGGATTGAGTTCTTGGTGTGTGAAGAGCTGGACACCAGCACTGGCCCAGGCTGGTGATTATCGGCATAGAAAGATCCCAGGGATTCATGAGGCAGGAAGTAGCCTGGGATTGAAGGCAGGACTTAGTGATTTGTTCAGGGCCTCGGGATGCTGTAAGTCACCATGATAGCCTGCTCCTGCCCAGTTGGTGTGGGTTCCCTTGGGGCTGGGGCAGCTTCCTAGGGGAGGATCCTGTGTCTGTTCTCTCCAGGCCAACCAGGAACATGGGCTGAGATTTCCTCAAGAGAGCAGTACAATGACCATCCCACCATGGCTGTGCCTGCCTTTTA